AAAATACAAATATAACACTTTTACCTATAAAGATCTCTATATTACCAAGCATATGAATATTATCTGTCTATACAAAATAAGACATATTCGAAATATTTTCTAATAAAATAGAAAATGGAAATAGGGAACGTGTCAAAGAGACAACAACCCGACCAAAAAGCATATATAAAGTATATATAATAAGTATATTATCGAAATTTTTCTAGCACTCTAGGCACATCACGATTTTCACGCATAGGAATTTGCAAACAAACCTTTGTAAAATTATGTAGTAAAACAGATGAAATCATACTATATTTATAAAACAAAAATTGACAAATAGAATGTAATCATTTTTGTTTCAAACATGTGAAATAGCCAATAATAATAAAAAAAAAACCGGTAAAAACTCGCTATTATTACAAAAATATCCACTATAACATGCAAAATTAGAAAAAAAACAGGATAACATAAGAATTGGAACAACAGAGAGAATACAGGGATTCGATCCTAAACCGACAAATCCCTATCTTTGACTCATTGATTTTTACCATGCTAACCTCGCGGCTACCAACTCATACTATACGACTGCCTATTGTGTCTATATAAAGGTACAAGCCCTGTGTGTCCGATGAACCGATGTATATCAGATGTTCATTTAAATATATAAAATAGACATCTATAGTGTAACCCATTGGTAGCCGAGAGGTTTAGTCGATGTGTTGATGTCAGTCACACATAACAGATTTCAAGGAAGGGTTCGATTCCCAGTGAAGGCATATAAAAATTACAAAAATTAAAGGTAAGTTTTTAAATTAATTCCATTAGTGAACAGAAATCAGTAAATTAGCCAATTCAAACTTAATGAAATTAGGCACACAAAGGAAACAATTGAATATAATTTGGTGAGTCAATTTCAGCGGCAGATTTAGGAAGCGTTGATTCTAGAAAAAGAATCCACGGTAAATGAATAGGCTGACGTCACCACAATGGTTTAAATGAATATCAGCTCTAAACAGTCGTAAAAAATGCAATCTCATAAAATATAAAATCTCCATCTGACATTGACCTCAGGTTACTCATTAGGTGGGGTTTTTTTAACTTCAAACTAAAATGTTGGGTTTGAATTCAGATTAATACATTTTAAATGATCTGTTAGAGAATTCCGGTTTTTATTCTTTCAAACAAAAAAGTAGAAGATTCCACATCTAACATTTGGAACATAGAAATTATAGGAAGGTGTTCTAGCATTCCTTTTATTTGAAGTTATTGAAAAATCATCTTTTAAGTATTCTGGACATTTATCGTGAAAAACATTAATCCCATTTAGATAAAAAGATCTAGTGCAAAATGTTTGGGTTTTTAGATGAAGGAATGATTTCTTAAGGTTTCAAGCAATCCTATGAATTCTTATAGGATAAAAGTGTTTAAAATTAAGGTCTATTGATGACTACAAATTGGAATCTGATAAAGCCACTTGGTTATATCACCCTAAACGGTAAATTATAAGTGATCTTGTGCAAACCAGAAATCGTTTTTGCACTTATTTCATGGAAAAGTCACATTTTGTAACCGGAAGTATCAAATTATCTCCCTTTGTCATGCAAAACACTGTAGGAACCATATATTTTTGAATCAGTGTAAAGTAAACTTTCATTTCATGCCGACAATGAGTTAATAATTACTATTTTTTACATCCATATATTTATTATCACAAATGAAAATTTCAAATGGGGAAGACATTCAACTGCACCCTGAACAGTTGCTTTTGATAAGCATTGCCATCTTTCTGTTGAATAACCTTTTCATTTTATTCAGATTAATTTTTGTTTCGACATATATCTATATGATAGTTGGGTTTTGTTATCGTACAGATAAAACGCTTTTGAAACTGACCCTACTTAATGAAAAATTCTTCCTTGTAAGGGTCATCTGCCCTTTCACTTATTTTCTTGTGAGAAACTTAAAAAGACATCGAGACAGTATTTTTTAATTGTTCGCAAAATTCTTTTATGGTAGCCGGTAAATACCTGGGGACCTAAAATTTTAAATCCAAAAGCCAGAACTTTGAAATTGAATTGAAGATCTAAGGTCAAGCTTATGTATCAGATTTTGAGCACATCTCTTCTGAAACTATAAAGAAATATTAGTACTGGTACAAAACGTTCATGTTATTAGGATGAAGATATTATACATTTCGTTCGTACATTTCGAAGACCTCTTATACAAGGCAGGTATAGTGTCCGGCTATGATCGTGGTTTTTCGAGTGATTTGATCGGGTTTTTCGAGTGTGACCACTTTTTTTCGCGTGAATATGATCAAAAATGTACTTTCTGAAAAGACGTGATATAGAAGCTTGAGTTTAATATACACGGATATACAAGGTGTGTTAGTATAAGGGATAAAAAGATATTATCAATCCGACATTATTTTTCGTTCAAAAAGTTGAATTTAGCCTTACAATGCTTTTATTCCAAAAAACAGAATAAAGCCATTTTTATACACATACCAATGCAAACGTCGATGGAAATGTATACATGGAATCGATATATATCCTCAGATATACAGACACTTTACAAAAAGTCTTGTTGTTGCATTGAAAAACGGTATTTTGAGCCTAAATTCATTTCTATGTGTTCGGGTTTTTTCGAGAGCAGTCCGGGCTTTTTCGAGTGCGTCCGTGTTTTATCGAGTGATTATACAAATCTCCTATAGTTTAGAATGTTGTGTGTCAGTGTATTTACGTTTAAAAACAATAAAAAAGGGTTCAAATTGTGTACTTTTCAAGGCAAGAAACCAATGCTTTCATCGGTTTAATAAAGGTGTACTAACACTTAGACTTTATAAACAAGTATCAGCCATCTGTATATATTGTTGTTTGTCACATCTAATAAATTACATGTACAGTATATATTCATGATGTCAACAATCTAATGTAAGCATAGACAATTTGGATTGAGACGTACGTACAAAGAGTGAATAAAGCTGATGAAATATTCATTTCATTGTTAACTATATATGAAATTTAATTCAGATGTTATTGTCAATGGGAATAAAAACTGGTCGGATAAATTGTCTTTTAGTAGAATATTTTTTATTACATATAAAAAAAAGAAGATAATGAGACAACTCTCCACAAGAGACCAAATGACACAAAAATTAACAACTATAGCTCACTGTACGGCCTTCAACAATGAGCAAAGCCCATACCGTATAGTCAGCTATAAAAGGCCTCGAAATGACAAATGTAAAACAATTCAAACGAAAAAGCTAACGGCCTAATTTATGTAAAAAAACGACAACCTCTGAATAACAGGCTCCTGACTTGGGACAGGCACATACATACAGAATGTGCGGGGTTAAACATGTTAGCGGGATCCCAACCCTCCCCTAACCTGGGACAGTGGTGTAACAGTACAACATAAGAACGAACTATGAAAATCAGTTGAAAAAGGCTTACTAGTAACTCATCAGATCGATACAAATAGAAAATACATCTAACAAAAACAAATGCGTTTTTCTGATTCTTCTCTGCTGTCCAGTAGGTTTATTTCTCCGTTTTTTAATTAACAGCTGCGCCATGGGCGCATGATACGCTTGATATCAAACTCGCCTGAGCATCCTTTAATATTATATTGAAATTAAATAACTCGAGTTGATATCAAGCGATATCCATTTTCACTCGTTATGAAACCTATAAATAATTTTTCAATGTCATATCAAAAATTTATAAAAAAAAATAAAAGGGAGGTAACCTTAATCTATATAAAGCATTCATCAAAGTTGCATGAAAACTCCTCAAAGCACTTTAAAAATATTGTCCGAAAACTGTAAAATCACCCCTTTTTAGCTCACCTGGCTGTTGAACAGATCACAATCTGAGCAGCTTAATAACTGTACTTTAATGTTAAGGATAGCGAATCATGTGCAAGGCAAACATTTTTTTACAGAAATCTTCTCCTCTAATACTTATAGAACAAGTTCATTATAGATATAGATAACTGTAAACAGCAAGAATGTTCAGTAAAGTAAGATCTACAAACAAGTCACCATCACCAAAACAGAGAATTTTGTCATGAATTATATTCTGGTCTTTAATGTAAAAGAGTGTCCATTTTTTGATTATTAGAATTAGTAGTTAATTGACCTGATCGCATGTTTTATCACTCGACAAAGCCCAATCTACACTCGAAAAAAATGGACAGATTCACTCGAAAAACCACGATCCTTGCAGGACACTTTATCTACCGTGTTATAGGAGTTTTCATTTGGTAATGTTTATTGATTATTATTTAAAATTGTTACAAAATACAAATACCAGTAATCGGATCTTTTGAAAACTGTTGGGTTTAATATGACATTTGTTAATCGGAGGTAGCAATTCTTATTCGGAATCAGTGTAAAATACTACTGATGATACCAAAAGCTGTTGATTCCACGATAAGAAACCGATAAACGATAATTTCTGTGTTGACATGAATTATTAATGATGTGGTCATAATTATTTATTAACTGTTTAAAAAACTTTGAATTTTTTAAAACACTTAGGATATTCTTACCCAGGAATAGATTACCTTAGCAGTATTTGGCAAAACCTTTTGGAATTTTTGGGTACTTTATTTGACCTTATTTAACTTTTTTAATTCGAGCGTCACTGAAGAGTCTTTTTAGACGAAACGCGCGTCTGGTGCAAAACAATTTAATACTGGTATCTATGATGATTTTTTTTAATAATCATTATAGTATCATTTTTCATACATCACCGAAAATAAAGACACAATATTATTTTGGAATCAGTGTTAAGTAAACAATCATCTTACACCTGAACCGACTTAATGTTAACTGGATTTCAATAATAAAAACCATTTTCATATAAAACTACTACAAACCTGATATTATTGGAATCAGAAAAGAGTAAACTGTCTTCTATTTTCTATTTTACTTTATTTGAAATTTAGATTTCAAGGTGTAAATATCTTCAACTGATCTCAATACCATGCATTACATGTAACATACTTACGCTTAAGATGAATATGTGTCGTAGTATTTAATGGATAGTGTTGAATCTCTTTATATCCAGCTTGACATGTAACAGTGGAACCATCATTAAGTCTTTGAGGATTGAATGTGTGATGTGCTGACTGTTTACCAGTATAATTTAATCCTAAAATTACTAGATTAACATCAGGTGCTGGTTGACCTCCTACCGCAGTACATTTCAAAGTCATATACTGTCCTTCAATACCAGGAACCTTATTGTCTGGTGTCACATTATCTATAATAAGAGCTGTTGGTCCAACTACAATATCAAAACACATAAAAAAAATCGCAACGTACACTTTCAATGCACTAATATTTTTCTCAATGACAAAAAATGTTCAAACACAGTTAAAAGAAATTAAGATAAATGGCGGAAAAAAACTAATAAGTAGTGAACCATAATGAAAAAAAGGAAAAAATCTTTTTTTAAAAGAAAACATAAGACAAGTTTTTCTGACACAAATCTCAAAATGTATCCAAACATTGAAAAATTCAGAAAAATATATAATCTCGTGCACGTCGAAAAAAAAATAAGCAGAAAGTATACATGTAAAGTCGCTTTAACAAAATTGATGGCGTTTAAACTATTTGTAAAATCGAACTTATGTCTTGCATCAAAAAAAATAAAAATAATAAATTCAACATCCAAATTCCATCCAATCTATAGTGTCAGATGAGGGAATTCGATGTTTGCTATAACATGGTTAACTTAGATGCGCGTCATGACAATACCATTGAATTATCAGACTTATTTTTTATTTTATTTTTTTTTCAGTATCTTAAGAATTGATTTTGCTATGTGTCTGTGAATAATGTGTTTAAGAATTAATGTTGTTGACTTTTGAAGCCCAAACTTCCTATGGCTTTAAATACGATAATGAGAGTTAGAAATCTATGCAAATAATGGCATATAGTTTTGTTGTTTTTTTTTTTTTTTTTTTTTCATTTCTCGCCCAAAATTTGGGGTTTTGTTTTGTAGTAATTACAAGAAATTGTCTACAAAACAATCTCTTTTCTTCCTAACTTATTTACCCCTTACACTTATTTTGATATGTACTGGTCATTGTTATTAAATCTTTCACAATTCCAAAGTCATCAATGCTACACCTTTACTTGTTTACCTGTTGAAATTTATCTTTATTGTACAGTTTAAGAACGTGAAATTTCATAATGTATCAATAACCGTATTTAAAGACTGGAAGAGCAAATGCAGATCTGAAATTATGAAATTACTCTTGTTTGTGGATGAACAATTATAATAACGATATGTCTTTAGTTTTCTGTCTTTCTATTAAACTAAACGTTCAAGTCAAACATTTAATCGTTGATTTTTTTATGTACATAAGATATAAAAACAATGTTCTTAACTTTATGAGTCATGATGTAAATTTGTTGGGATGAGAGATCCTAATCTGAATACATGTAATTCAGGCTTTAAAATATGATATCATTTACTAGAATATAAAAAAAACTTGTTATCTGAAAACAGGTTATAATTGGCATTTCGTTTTACACACACGTGTACAGTTATGCCATCTAATGGACAATGAAACTGGACCCTGGACGAGTTGTTTTTATCAACGAAACAAAATGTATCCAAAGTTAAATTTGCCAGTTCTTATTTTTTAACATACTTTTCGTTGTACTGATAATTTTTACTATATCAGGATAGCGAATTCTTAATAAAAATGAGAAAAGTCTTTGGAAATTAATTTATTTGAAAAGATACATTGAAATGTATTTTAGGGTGAAAAGCTTGTATACCTAAACAGAAAAGTATCAGTCTTACGAAGTGTGTAAAATTTGAATTCAATCCAAAAGAAATCCGTGAGTTAATGAAGTCAAAATATAACCGTTCTGCCTCTTGTTGTGCATAAATAGTAAATTTGTCCATTTATAGATTTTGAAATTATAAAGAAACTAAGGTTTCAACTCCCTCAGGCAAAGTTGACCTTAGATGAATACGGCTATATTTTTTTTTTCAAATGCTTCGATTCTTAAATATCCTTGGCTTTCAAATATTCGGTTTTGAGCGTTCCTGAAGTTTAATCAGAAAAGCTCTTCGGACGGATGAAACTTATAACGTGCTGTTTACATTTTTTTTCATTTAAAAGCCGCATTTGGCTACCTTACAAAATCTTGCCAGGCACTATAGAACACTTCTCTATAACAGGGGTGGTGTTAATTCGATGTGGAAACTGAAACTATTTAAATATCTTTTAGAGTACCTAAAAATCAAGTCTGTCTGCTCTCAAAATAGTATAAAAACAGGACAGGAACATACCGGTCATATGTGACACAGATATTTCATAAGGGCCAACCAAATCATGATGGCGTCCTTCAAAGGAATGACTTAAACTTTATCACTTGGAACTCTTGTTCAATAGCCTCCTCGTAAGCATGAACCCTCTATCAAAAAAATAACTTTAGAAAAGGCAGGCTCTGGAATACCGTTTTAGCTGGGAATATGTTGTTCATATACAGGTGCTGCTAGATAACTTCTACATAGAAATGGATAGTTCACAATTAGGAAGCTGAAATTATCCCTATTGTCGTAAAGTTTTATCCTTAATCGAAACTCATTGTCAATTTCTAGATTTAAGTCAAGATATAAGACAGACTTATTTATATCTGAGATCCATTAATTGATTTATTTGTAATATTGGAAGGTACTATCATCATAGTCACATAAGTTTGAATTTCAGAAAGAGGTCATCATCTATAAAGCGGAACGTGAATTTAAAATATAAAGCTACCTTTTTTCATCCTCTCTGAGCAGCTCCTGTATGTAATCTGCTTAATATGAATATATGAAAGAGTCGGCAGAAGAGATGAGCACAGTTGCAATGTCGATTATTATGTTAAAAAAAAACACGTTCTTCAAAAGTAACACATATATGTTGACTATCAAATATTTAAGCAGCTTGATGATTTCAGAGTTAGAGAATTTTTTGTTGAAACAGAGTGTTTTAGGTGTGATTCATCCCTCCCTAAAAAAAGATATTTGTATTCCTTTATTGAAACATATTCTTACAATCTTTCGTACAGGGGCATTTGCACTCAAATTGTCATATTTGATTTACAACATCCTAAAACGTATATATCAAAATTACAAAAAGTCTAAAATAAATATTTAATAATACATGACCTCGATAATATATATCAGCATTTCGTGTGTATTTTATTCTAACTAACCATCGAGATGACCTCCGAAGACTGCCTACTGTCATATATCCCGATATAAACATAAATACAAATATAAATAGATAGCGAGCACTTACAATTGAATTTTTCTAGGTATGTTTGATTTCATATTATAGGTTAAACAATATGTTAATCATCGTTTTTAACTGTATAAGAATATTTTTTGTGGTAAAAACAGTCAACCAACTGGTCACCCTTGTTTCACTTTCAATGTTGATATTCTTTTCCTTTTGATAGCTGAACACGCCTAGAAAATGCGTAGCCCATCTTTAGCTAAGGGTTTAAATTGAAGCTCACATGAATACGGATTCATTGAGGTTAAATTGTTGACTTGCAAGTCAATAATACATCAGCGATATTTTTAATCTTATTTTGAAAAAATGTGGCCAAGCTGACTGCTTATAACGAAATATCATTTCAAAATTCCACTTTTATCAATACTTGAAACAAACAAAAAATCGTATTTTAATTTTTTGTCTAAATCGTAGCTAATACCCGAAAGTTTTAAATGTGGAATATCAATGTATGGGGTAGAGACGTTTAATGTTCATGTACTATTTCTAAATAAATCAAAAGATCTGTTAGAGCCCAAGTCTCTTTTTTTTAATTTTCTAACAGATCTTTTGAATTGTCACTTCAGATTAATACTGCCACTGGTATAGAGATTATTAATATAGAACAACAAATTTTGCAGTTATTTTGATTCCTGAAAAAAATGTGATTGATAGCTTAGAAAAAGGTTTCGTCATAAGAACTTGGTACAACCCAGCAATATAACGTTGTTTCTAAGGCTCTGGCTACTTCCTTTAATTATGATTTCAACGAATCAAAATAACAGTGACGAAACGATCGTTAAATCCTGTGTTCCATTGCTATCTTGTTTATAGGCCATGTTGCTAGGAATACGACCATAACATTATTCTGATAAATTATATGCATATTCATTAGATCTCATTAAGAATGTTGTATTATAATTTTGATAATTATGGTTTCAAGTAAGTTGAAGGAAGATCCAATTCATCATCTTTGGTTGAAAAGCTTACTAATCTTTACGTTTTTGACCCATTCAGTTAATTTACACATAAACGACCTCACAGCCTTCCATGTCTTCTCTTTCGCGTTTAACCAATTGCGTTGCAAAATCCTTGATTAAATCTATTAGTGTTTCAAAGTTGTGTTTCCAGTTTATGGATTAAGGCTTGCAATATTTCTGTTCTTTGATTAAGTATTTTCGCTGAGAAGAGTTGACGACAATGTTCAGGCCACCAGTCAAAATGCGTCCAGTCGGATTATATATGAATTGGGGACTAGTTTTCACGAAGAATTATTCTTAATCATGTTGAAAGAAATAAAGAAGAGGACAATGAAAATTCATTTCAGTATTTGTCTTTCATTTCCTTTTAATTGCAATTTTTATTTGATAAAGTTAAATGTAAAAGAATGTATGTATTTGAAAAAAAAAATGAAATTGAAATACATCATCTTAAAGACAGATTAATCAAACTTCTGTCAAGTACGAAGCGCTTTTCTGAATTTACCTTTATATGGAGATTGCATACTTAAAACATTGAAACTCAAAACTTATAAGTACCCACATATGTCGTTATGATATTGTAATTATCATGTTTATTTATCTTGGCCTAATTTGTTTTTGTGTGGCCTTATAAGGTTTACAACATAATGTTATAATTGTGCAGTTAAGAAATAACTGGAACAATCATAGATACTGATGGAATGATTAGAATCTACGATGCGGAAGTTTTCCTTTTATAGTTTTCGAGGAGTTTCCCGTCTACAGTGTTCTAGAAGTTTCCGCGACAACTATATATACAGACACCGAAATTAGGCTTATCAGACATTAATATACTTGTATTCTCAGAAGTTCTCTGGAGTTGTTGGATTGACACTTTTATTTACGAACGACATCATACTAGTTTGTGAACTTATTGGATATATTCACATATGGAATCTGCAACAGTTAGGAGAAGAATTCCGGATAAAGAAAATACAAAGGATCGGACATATATTTTAACAGTTAAGTTGACATTTCAATTGTATAATAAATCTTGTTAAATTTGTCATTGATTTTTATCTATAATAATAATAATAATAATAATAATAATAATAATAATAATAATAATAATAATTAAGGTAAAGGCAATATATGCAAATACATAATAAGTTTTTGAAACTTAGTTAAATACAACCTTAAAATATAGCAATGGTTGTGACTTTAGGTACCTCTAATGCCTTAACCCAAGGATGACCCATGAAAGTAAAAAAGCTTATTTCCAATGGGGTCATTATAGTCTTGATAATAAAATAAATAATGTATCATTCAATTTTACAGCACTAAATAGTATACATGAATCACAGCTTAAAACATTCGTATAAAAAGCAATCTAATAAAATATAAAATCTGCATCTGACATTGACCTGAGTTTACTCATTAGGTGTTTTAGTTTACTTCAAACTTAAATCTTATTTTTGAATTCAAATTAATACCTTTTACATGATCTGGCAAAGCATTCCAGTTGTTAATACCACTAAAAAAGAAAGAAGATTCTACACCTTTGACATTTGGAACATAAAAGTTGTAAACAGTTTTGAGGAAGTTCTTGAAAAAAAACATTTTTTAAGTATTCTGGACATTTGTCGTTAAAAACATTAAATACATATTGTTGGCTACAATTTAAAGGTGATTTCTGGCCGTTACAATATGAAGAGCTGTATGACCAAAAGGGACATAAAACAATAACAAAATCCATCTAAGGTCAGTCAGCTTTTTACCAAATTATTTTAATACCTTTAAAAAACATTGCTTTTAGCCATACTGGCTATATGTTTTTCATACTTTTATCTTCAGTGAACAAATATAAACTGTTGACACGGATATATGTCTTACTTTTTGTACTTTGATAGTAAAATGCAAATGTTGAAATAGAAATGGCAATACTTAATAGAAATAAGAAGATGTGGTATGAGTGCCAATGCGACAACTCTCCATCCAAGTCACAATGTGTAAAAAGTAAACAATTATAGGTCAAAGTACGGCCTTCAACACGGAGCATTGGCTCACACCGAACAGCAAGTTATAAAGGGCCCCAAAATGACTAGTGTAAAGCAATTCAAACAGGAAAACCAACGGTCTAATCTACATAAAAAACGCGAAACGAGAAATATTTATGAACCACATCAACAAACGACAACCAATGAACAACAGGTTCCTGACTTAGAACAGATGCAAACAAATGCAGCGGGTTTAAACATTTTAACAGGTGCCACACTTTACCCTAACCTGGAACAGTAGTGTAACATTACAACAGAGAAAGACACACTATAAAATATCAATTAAAATGGCTTAACTCAATCAAAAAGACATATGTATTACATTCATTGTTATACATTGTAATCTATGCAAAATATTCAAAGTCAATGACTCATGACTGAAGAAGAAGGGCAAAATAACCTCGATTGAAATGAGAAATGCCGATGGTTATAAAACTAATACCAAATACATTGACTTATCATAAATGCTTCCTTTTAATCTAACCTAAACAAAGACTTGAACATAAAACATACAAATATTATATGCATAATTCGGAGATAAGTTTACATGTTAACCAGTGTGCCATTGCAACAGAAATTAATATTTAATCTTGATTGCTGGCATAAAAGAGGCAGATTATACTGAGCGGATATGTAAAACTGACTTAACATATAAAATTTGATCATAATATGTTGACCCTCATGTAGCTCTCATTGCATGATTCTTACATGGAGCTTTACCTAATACAAAAGCTACCTATTAATAAAGTCCTCTACTGTAAGTAATTTAGACTGTAAGGAGCTATTTAGTTCTCTTGTCTGATCAACCCTGGACATAAAAGGTGCCGACTTTAACAAAGACAATATAAAAACAAAGGAAACATAAAAATTAGATCCAATCGATCAAAACAAATTCAATGAAAACATGATATGGACACAGTCATGTGCAGTGCTAGAATTAATTTTATTAAAACTTTTCCGAGTTTTACTCATGTGAAGATGGCGAAAAGTCATTTCAAGGAATAAGGTAACTTTTTGGCGGATTTGGAGATGATTTTCCTGTATCAAATAACAAAGTCATTATGAAGTTCACGAAGACCATGTAAATTCTGTTGAAACGACAATCAACCTAGAAACCTTATTGTCAGCTTCATTACTATAAGACTCCTTTAAAAGTTCGGGCTACAATTCCGTTTCAGCAACATTTTAAGTTTTTTATCAATTTATGTAAATGATCAAAGACTTTCCCAAAAAATATTTTACTACAAGATGCGTAAAATGCTCTTTTGAATCAAATACGGCAATTTTACAATGTTTATAGCGTCATGATAACATTATTACAAAAGAATTTTCTGTTCTGAACTGAAGCATTACTTATTTACTTTAAATACTGCTTACATAATTTTGAATGGATTGAGGAATTTTACCATTATTTTTTAAAATTCAGGGGTTAAATAATGGCTCTTATCTGACCTCCTTTATTATTGTTATTTAAGAGGGTATATTTTCTTCATCGAATTATATGTTGTCCTATAGGACATAAGTTATTCCATAGGATTTGTTTATCCAATAGGAATGTTTTCTTGACAAAAGTCTGTGAGGAATTTTATTTCTAGCAATAATTTTACTCCGATCGGATTATTTTCAAGGATTTCAATGAATCCCATAGAAACGTTTTCAAGAAAACATATCCGATAGAATTTTTACTTTGCTTTTGCAATGATTTTGTTCCTATGTTCCTATGTTCCTATAGGAGTAGTTTGAAAAATCCTGTAGGAGAAAGTGGTTTTATTTTCTTATTGGAGAAAAATTATCCCTAATGATTCTTTATCCTATAGGACAAAACGCCCTGAAGGATATTGTTACAGGGGCATTAGTTACGATTTAAACAAGAATGTAAAATACGATTCTTTTTGTTTTAATTATCAATAAAAGCGGAATATTTCGTTATAAGCAGTCAGTTTGGCCACAATTTTATAAAATAAACCCAAAAACATCGCTGATGCAATTTAACCTCATTGAATTCCTCTCCATGTGACCTTCAATTTAACCCCTTAGCTAAACATGGGTTACACATGTACTCAGTGTGTTCAGCTATTAAAAGGAAATAATGTCAACATTGAAAGTGACACAAGAGTGAGGTGAACCATTTGATCCACAAAGAATCATTCTTGTACAGGTTAAAACGATGATTACTGTGAATTCATTTTTATTCGTGGTATACCAATTTTCGTGGATCTCGTGGGTAACAGCGAACCACGAATTTAAGAATTCAACAAAGAATAATCCCGAGAAATGTGTATGGAGTCGGGTGTTTATTTCCGGTTATGTTATGCAGTTCTAGTATAGTGTTGACTAGCGATAAACATTGTAACATAACACGTGTATTTATTGAAATAAGATACAAGTATTTTGATAAAGTTAATAATAAATATATCGAATATCACTGATCATTTACTTTTTAAAATTGATTAAAACTGTTCATGACAAATAACTGCAAGTTGTTTATTACCGTGTCATAGTTTGGTTTACTGGTTATTAAAAATCAATAGGATTAAGTACGGGTAATATTGTTTATGACAGGAACATTTATTTTCACACCTTTAACTTATATGACTGTAAATTATATCGTGATTAGGGAAATGAGCTTTCAATCAAAGAGTTTTGAATGCCTTATAAAATTCCGACAAGAATTTATAAATTGTAAAACAAACAAAATAATTTGTCTCTGCCCATTATTGTAATAAAAGTTTTCAATGAACACTTTAACCTGGAATGACCAAGCGAGGATTTTGACAATTCAAAACTTAATAAAAATAACACTTTATCATTTATTTTTTGGATGATTCGCTTCTCTGGATTAACATTCAAACCGAAACATTAGAAAGTCAGGGATTTTAAAGTATGCAGAAATGAATATGACCAAAACGAATAGTAAAATTAAAGGTGGAAAAAGGACAAACGGTACATATTTATCATTAAGAATTAACCAGACAATGTATCTTGAATAGTACAAGAAGCTTGAAACTGATAGACTATCTAGTGACTTACCAATTACAGTCAAGAATACTGTCCCGATATCTTTCCCAACAATGCATTCGTATTTCCCCTCGTCACTTTTCCTGATGTCAGCTATGTTCAGATGATATTCTCCAATACTATGATTACCAGACACAGATAATCTTCTATATAGTTCTGGGGACAAAGTATCATTATTTATGTAACCATTTTCTGTCAAATATACTGACTGAGTTCCATTTGTGTAAAACCATAACGAACGCCTTGGTGCTAATTTAGCAGGACATTTTAATTGAATTGTTGATCCAGTTAAACCTAGTTGATCGGCATACAATAAATCTAAAACGAGAACAACATTTTCTTTACTTCCATGGTATTCATTATAGTATACTAGTACCAGTTCTGTTAAATAAATGTGATGATCAAATTTATTATAAAAATGCAACTGCATTAAATGTATGATAATCTTAACCCCGAGCAGTTTAATTTATGCTTGGGGTATTCTAAGGCCAATGTAGGAATCATAGTTACATTTAAATACGTGGCTGTTTGATGATCAAAGTTTATGAATCAGGTGGGCACTATTTGAAAGTATCGACAAGGGTATAGACCAATCACCCCAAAAAAAAACATTTTGTTTGGTAACCGTTCCCTCAGAAATCTGTCAAAGCTTTACTTTGATAATTTTCTAAAATGAAGACGGACACTTTAAATTAAGCGGTACGAGCTTAAGATGGAACACGTAGTTATGGGATAAGGCAAAGACCATTTTGAACAAATCACTTAACATTCTGAAGAAAAGAATTAAGCTCATGGAATTGAAGACAAAAGCGGAAGGAGGTTGCACAACTGCACAGGAATATTTGTTATAGTTGCAAATATAAGAAAAAATCATATTTCAGAATATTACCACAGGTATCCATGTGTCGTGAAAATGAAAGGGCTGCTTTCATTTTGCAACATTGAAGTTATGAAGAACTTATCACTTTTCATTAACCAATTAGTTAAAATAAATCTCTGTAGTATACTCTCAATTATACGATTATGTATTATAACATTGTTCTATAGCAACCATAAAATATGATAATGTATTTTGCCTCTTGTTACATATATATATATATATATATGTCTCAGTGTTTCAAAATAAAGTATATTGTTTATATTGTTTTTATTGTTGACAAAATCGTGGAAATTATATGACAATAATTTCTTGACCTTTGGCTGGTATGGATAGGAAAAGACGGACTGTCATACAGAAAACAGCCCAAAATACATACATTACACAATACTACACACCTAATTGTGGAGTGCTTCCTAAGTGGATCCGGCCTAAGTCGCTTTTCTGGATTTATCTTCATCAGGAACGCTCAAACCGAGTATTTGAAAGCCAATGATGTATAAGAACCGAAACAGTTGAAGAGCTATATGACCAAAAATGACCTAAAACATAACATCAAATCTATTTAAGGCCAACTTTGCCTGAAGGAGTTGAAACCTTTATAATTTCAAAATGTATAAATGGACAGTTTCAGATAGGCTTATTATAAATCATGACAGTACCTAAGTACTGACTACTGAGATTATGATACTATCTATCATGGAATTTGATAAGACTGTCGTACAAGTGAGAGGTTTAGCGCTATAAAACCAGGTTCAATCCACCATTTTCTACATTTGAAAATGCCTGTACCAAGTCAGGAATATGACAGTTGTTGTCCATTCGTTTGATGTGTTTTGTCATTTGATTTTGCCATGTGATTAGGGACTTTCCGATTGAATTTTCCTCGGAGTTCAGTATTTTTGTGATTTTACTTTTTTCATTTGAAACATTACTGATTACTGTTGATTAATGTTGATGGAACTAACTTCTGTTATATATATTTTTGGTATAATTATGCATACACAATAATCTTGATAGCTTCTTATAAAATCTTAATCAACATAAATGCTTTATACTGGATAATCCCCCGTACTCATTTATGGTGATAAATTGATTTGAATATAATTGTTTTACGTTAGAAAAAAAACATAATTTCGATATGAAATATTGATATAAATAACATGAAAACCTCAGCAAACACAAAAGTCTGGAGTGATCGTAGGTCATTCAGAGGATAAACAGCAGATCCTGAAAAATATGTGACACTCGTTTCTCTGTTTATGATAATTATAATTTCGTTGATACATCTCGTTCGATGATGACACAATTAAAGAATAGATATGGGATTTTAGTTACGATGATTTGAACATATCCGTGTTCATCTGTGACATAGATAATATATTCTAAAGCGGGCAACCAAATTGTGAAAACATCCGAAAATTTTCGATTGGATGACTTTAACTTTACCACTTTGATCCCTGATTCAAATGTTTCTTGTAAGCAGGAAAATCAAGCTTTGGAATATTGTACCAACTTGGAGATATATACGCAATGTACAGGCACTGCTTGAATATTGCTACATAGAAACATAAAGTTCCAAATTTGGAAGCTGAAGTCTTCCCTTTTTTCATGCATGTTTGTTTCCAACTTACACTCGCTGTTGATTTCAAGATGTAAATCAAAATATGAGGCAGACTTGATTCTGGTTTTCTTTATTTTCTAGTTCGGTTGGATAAATGCCTTCAACATAGTCACCAAACGTTGATTGTTTTAGTGAGAAGACATCTTCTATATAGCGGAACAATATGTTAATGGATAATGCTAGCTTCTTTTCATTTACCTTAGAATATAGCAAAGTGTTCTCGACCAATGAAATTGTAGGATTTGGTGTCTCTTAATTGTGAAGAATGAATGTAAATCATGTTCTTAGTAAGGGATTATCCTATTATTTGGGTCTATACATTTCAAAACAAAGAGTTTCTATAAATCAGTTACAACTACCCCGCAGCACATTTATCAGATTGAAAGAATTTGTGATTAAAACCGACTAAAAGTTGAATTGTGAAACAAACAAACAAATCAAAATAAGTTGAAGTTTACTGGTGCAGTAAAATTTGTACCTTTAATGTTATTATGAAAATATTAATTACTTCAAATTACAAAAAAAAAGAAAATAAACGATATCACAGCAATGCAAAAAAAAAGGAAAAAAAGTTTTAAAATTAAATTTACCCAAATCTTTAGCTTTCTGAAACTCTGATTACTCAACCAGCAGTTTGAAAGAATACTAATTTCCAATATTCCGATAGAATTAAAAAAAAAAACAGGAATTTGATTTAAGTTTTTGATATATTTAAAACTTTTAAAGGTATTTTATTACAACGTTTTCCTGAAATAGTATTTGATTTAAAAAGCCGGACCAAAATATTGGCTGTGAAATAAAATTAGTTGTAACTCAAATGCATTTATTGATTTAAACTGTAAAAAAAAAGGCTAATTCCTCAATAAAATATTACATGATTTACATTCATACTCACGGTCAGGAAACATATACAATTCCTACCTTTTCTTTGTACTGTTGTGTCACCTAATGTTTATAACACATTTTTTTTTTAATATTTCCCAAATTATAAGGAAGTCCTTACATCACTAAAACTAACCCATAAATGAAATGCTAAAAATGAAGTCATGCATCAATTATAAACATTAACACTGACAATGAAACTAATTCTTGAATACAACCAATCAAGAGACGACCATTTGAGCCTTGAGCACTTTACAATATTCTAAGTTTGTAAGAGAATGATAATCCTTTACTTCATGATAAGTACTCGCTAACGCTCGTACTTAATCATGAAGAAAAGGATTATCATTCTCTTACATTTACTAGGAAACTTTCAATGTGATACAATGATTAAGGTTTACTTATCATCAAACGATGGTCGGTTAATGTTTTGCATAACTTTCAGGATAAAAGAAAGAAAAAACAGAAAAGAATTAGACATCATATCTGGGAGATCATTTTAATTCATTTGTTAAACAAAGTTATCATGATTTTTTTTTTTTTTTTTTTTTTTATAAGTTAACATTCTTTTTTAGTTAATATTGATTTTAATGTACATTTTTACGTATCTATACTTATACGTTAACCGAAATATTTATTGATTTTGGATTCAATATTCATATTCGGTAATTTTCTTTTGGTGTACATTGTTATAAGATTAATAAATAGTTGTCTGTCCTCCTTTTCCCCAAATTCTAGGTTAAAATATGTTCCTTTTGAAAAATTAAAAAAAGTTAATTTAAAAAAGAAGGATATACTTTGCCTGTTTATCAGATCAGAAGCACCTGTTTTGTAATTCTTGAGTTCCGGGAACCAGTGTGCTGTTATTTACAATGAAAGATATGTTGAATTTTTCAGTACAGGCCAGGCTAACATATTGAGACTGTCACTTTATTTAAACTTGAGACAAAATTGATAAATATATGCCCAGAAATTGGTGAATTTTACATAGTAAGCAATTGATCCATAAATTAGTGTTTGATACGAGCACATTCATTTCATCAGACACGATGATGCAGATTATTCTCGGCAAATTATATGGAATATTTGTTTTCGAATGTCTTTTGTGTTTTTAAGAGTATAATAAGAGATACTACTAGTATTCTGTATCCGTTGTTTCATAATATTTATCTGTTGAAATGTTTCGATCGTTTATTTTACTTAAACACATAAAAAAAGGGTTGTAATTGGATTCGATGGTGAATGAGATATTTGTGTAGGGCACAAGATATCTACAGTCAAAGACTTTATGAAATTTCTGTGTGAAATATCACTCTTTACAATGGGGTCAATTTCAAAACTTTCTTCCATTAAAATAAAATCTCAGCATTATCACAGCTTTAGACAGTAGTGTTTAATTTGGGTGTTTTACACCGTCATGAGGTATTTGGCAATTCTATTAAGAATGCGCAAAACTGCTAAAGACTTCAACTTGAAAGATTACAAATAGTGCTGAGTATTTAACAAAAAGAGAAAAGAATTCAATAAAAAGAGAACAACTGAATGTCTTTCGACCTCACATGTTGATAAATAAGGATAAGAATAACTATTAAACATATTTGCACGACGACGAGGGAGTTTTTTAACGACCTTGACTACCCATGAGGGTCTTTCACGGTCGGTATAGATTTGCACAAAGAATTTGTTTAATTATACAAAAATATCCACCGTTAGCAAAAACAGTAACTTGCAGATTCCAAAAGTATGTAGTTATTTTCTTTGAAAAAGTGAAATGATCAGATACATCCTGTTTGGAACAGTCACTTCCAGTGTCACCACTTACTTTTCACTAATTCCAAAAATTTATGATTTCTATGTATTTCCATTTGAAATAAGGACGATAATTTGATATTTCCGCTATACAAAATGACACTTTTGGTGTCACATGATAGCTTTCATTACACTGATTCGATAATATCTGGTTTCCATTGCTTGAAATAAAGGAGATAATTTGCTTCTTCCGGTATACAAATGTCATTTCTCGTTTCAAATGATAGGTTACTTTATACTGATTCTAACTGTTTCTATGTTTTACATAAAAAATAAGTGCAAACTAGCATCTTGAAGTTGACCCTTTTTCAAGGTCTTATGTCATGCAGTCTTTTGCAGTTTCAATCAAAGTTAAAAAATTAAATACATGACCTTGACCGTCGACCTTGCTCTCAATTTTCTACTTATGGACCAAGGACCTTATTTCAAAGGCCTCTAAGTCTCTATGACTTACAGTTTATGAGTTACACCAACATCTACTCATGTCAAACACAAAAATGAAAATAACTCTTATAACATATAACTGGACCGCTTTGGTACATAATTAAGCAATAACTTTTACGCCTTCTGGGGAGAAGCGATAACAAGAAAAATAGTATACTGGGAGATAACTTCCATAAGGAATAGTGTTCGGTTAAAAGGGATTAGTTTCAAAGGCGTCATAACTGTTTGCTATCAGATATCAAATTTCTTATCATGTTGCAAAACAA